TTTACATACATACATATTTTGTTTAATTAATGCCCCAATGTAGGCAACACACCTGACACGTTCATCGTTACTTTTGCACCTGTAATTTTTAATATACACACGTGAAACTATTTAAATTTATAGCATAACTTTAGTTGCTTGTAGCGAAGTTACAAATCAAAACTGATATTTCTATGCTTCACGTGATAAACCGATTAACTCCCTGTTTCGTTTGCGTATGTATGTATATCGTACTAAGTATATTTGCATTATAAAATAAAGTATTAAATATATGTATGTTATTAAATTGGGATAAATATAGGTCGAACTATTATCGATATTAGCCATCTTATTAAAATTTTTATTCAAATTTGTCTTTTATTTTATTACCAAAACATAATGAAATGTTAGACTTTTTAATTTGTCAAACTAAATAGCGGAAAGGTCTAGGAAATCCCGTAATTCCCAAAAGCTAAAACAAAAATCTCAATAATGGGATTTCTTACAATTTTGGCTATAGGCTCCACATTTCCCTGGGATTTTAGAACTTGTAGCCTGAATTTGAATTTTTTATCAAAAATTAGGAGCAACATTATTTGAAAATGGACTTAATTTTCTGCGTAAGGACACCTTCCAGAAATATATTGTTTATATATATTTTTTATATGAAATTTTCAAAGGACATTATTTATACTTGTTCGTTCTTAAAATTAAAAACACCAAAACTAGGAAACAAACTACTAATTTATTATTATTTTTATTCTTATAGAAATGTTTCAGGCTTGTACATAACACAGAAATCGTGTCCCTAAACCTAGTTTTATTTCATTTTTATTGCCCTTTTATTTGTATCTAACTATATATCTTAAAAATAATACGAAATTGTATTCTAAATTTCATAATTTCTTCTAGACGGGAATTCCCGGGATACCGGGAAATTTCAAAATGAATCCCGATTTCCCAGGAAATGAAATGGTCCGGGAAAAGAAAAAACAATAGTTTGTGTGGTATTGGAGTGAGTGTTTTGAAAATCTGCACAATTTTTATTGAATAATGTTTTATAATTTCCTCTTATGAATACTGTTCGGAATTACTACTTCTTATGTCTTACACATGCATATATTTTAAAAATTCCTGTATTTTTCCCGTTTTCTAAATATGGCAAAACTTTTTCTATACTTACAAATTCATAATTTTACACATTAATATGATATCTTGATTGATTTAAGAAAATATGACTGAAAATAAAGTATTATAAATAAATGACATTTATGAAGAAATAATAAATGCGAGTTGATTTTATTCACGCATAGAATTTTAATCATTATTGTTTGTTAATTGTTAATTTAATCAATTTTTATTGGTTGCAGCTTCAAATCTCACAATAAAAACATTTATAAATGTTGATCAGAAATTGAAACTTTTGTTAAATTATTATTTGTTTGTTTTTTTTTTTTTTTTTTTTTTTTTTTTTTGAACAATTTAAATATAACTATGCAAAAAACAAGTTTTTGACTTATAAGTATTTTAATGATTTTATTTGTTTGATATGGATTTATAATACCCTTCGCAATATTGACAGTTGTATAACGTATTTAAATGCTTGATTATCTCTCAGTTTGTAATTTATATTTTAAGTCTTCCTATATTCACCACACTTTGGAGATTCCAACTATTAAATCGATCAAATTTTGTATTTTTATAAATTTCAATAAATTATTAATAATATTTACAACTATCTCTCACAGTTCATGTATAATGAAAAATTATTGGAAATTGTTTTTAAGCAAAAAACATTTTATTTTCCCTAAACAACATTTGAAAAATCATTCCACCAAAGAATAGTTGGATTCAAAAATGAAGGGTTTATACGATTCGGTGCAGCCGAATATACATATTAGTTATTTATTTGTTTGTTTTTATATGCATATACATATGTATATTTATTTGATTGAATGTTATACAAATCTGTCTTAATTTTCAAGTGACTGTTATTACTACTTGGCTGGTTCTTTTTTCATCAATATGAGAGTAGGATTCATTCATATTTAAATGAATCTTTAAAACACTTCCGATATTTGAGTGTTTGATGAAATAAGAACTTTTCAAAATGATTACATTTTTAAACCCACATGCCAACTGAATAAATTTAAAAACAACTGGCGTCAGAAATACGTATTATTTTTTATTATTAATATTATTTGATTTTAGTTTAAAATGTGTATTAAATTAGCATATGAAAAGTTTTCATAAAAAAACCATTTATTATTTGAACATTGTTTTTTTTTTCCTTCATTTGAATAAGAAAAAAATATATAATTAAACAAGTAATAATAATTAAAATAATAATATTAATAATACCTTGAAATATATATTTTGAAATAAATTAACAATAATACCCAACACATATACAGTAATATTTATGTAAATGATAAAAAGTTATTAAAATTTTATAAATATACTATAAACAGTTATTTTATGCTTATTAAAATGCTGCAATTTCTAATTGACTTTCGGAACTTATTTCAACGTTGTTTTGCCTATAACAAAATCAATATTAATAAATTTTATATTAAGAAAAAATTAAGTCACATTAATATACAATTATAATAAAACGTGTCAAATTAGCAAAAAACATAATTAACTGACATAATTTTTCGTTTTGATTTTAATTATGGCTTTTTAGCAAAAATTTGATTAAAATTGTTGACTAAATTATTAGTCTGTTCTTTTGCCGGCTGGTGAGTTGGCAACAACAAACGTTAAGTCTTTGCATTTTACCGTTTCGCTCCTTCATCCAATTCTAACATATTATTTCTCAATTAAAAAAAAAGACCACCGCCATTCTACATGACATTTTTAATATAAATCATTCATTAGACAAAATTAATAGAATGGAGATTGTCTGGCCACGCGTTAGTTTGTTTCTATTTTTGAATATCAAAATAGATTTTCGAAATGTTTTCAAGAAATTCTTGAAAATTTGCATTTATTCAAATTTATAAACTCATACGAATACTCTCATACAAATACACACACATACTTATTGGCATACGTTTTTCGTAATTTTTTTATTCATCTGTCCATTTCATATTATTTTTATATTTTTCGTTAAAAATTCATAAATTAAAATAGTATTGCAAAATTAATATCGGAATAAGCAGATCAAATAACAGCCCTATACATTAGACCACAATATTATATTACAACCATATTTTTTTCTCAAAAAATAAATAATTGTAATTAATTTTTTGCTTAAAGAATAAAACATGAAGAAACAGTACTAAAATAAATCGCAAAATGATTTTTCTCTTGGCAAACGTAGGGTGAATGTGGCATAACAAATTTAAAACTATTATTCTTCTACCAACATAAAATTGAAATGTTTTGTTTTCTTGTCATTATAGATTTGTCAATTTTCATTTTAATTTGAATATGAATTAAACTCCTCTTTTAGAAACCTTTCACTTTGAGCATAAATTTATTTTATTTTTATATTTTTAGTTGTGATTAACATAATACATTATTCGTTAACCTTGAATAACTTATATGTTTAACAAAATAAATAATTTTGTTCATATCTAAATTTATCTATTATATACATATTAACATTATTTTCTTACTCTAAAAATAACACACACACGTACATTGCAAAAGATACGAACAAATTTAAAATCATTACATAGATTTTAAAATTTATTAAATAATCTTATAACAAGTAACTTTATTTCAAAATTATGAAACAAACAAAAAGTTCAATGAACTTTTCATGAAATGAAATTAATCAATTTTAGCTAACAAGGTGCGATGTTTGTATATTTAACACTATCTTTGGCGCATTCAAATTTAAAACGGAGTTAAATCTTCTAAGTTAAATATGTTTTTAATTTTTTAGTGTGTATTTTGGGTTAAATCGATCTTAGATGATGCGTCACTATTTTATACAGCCTTCCAAAAATCAAAACAAATAAAATCACTTCACTATACATACGCCATAATTAATCATTCAAAACGATTTAGGTGTTTTGACCTATGAATTATGGATCTACATACATAATAACAAAACATATAATCAAAATACAAATATATAACTTAAATTCCTACAACTGATGGATAAATGAAAGCTTGGTTTGTTATTCATGTCGATTTTATTGTTATTTTATTTTCATCTAATTTTATAAAATCTATATCGATTTACTTTTTTTTATTACATTCATAAATTAACTAATTGAAAACAATTTGAAAGTTTTAATGATTTAACAAATTAACAACCAATCGAAATTATGTAAATTTTACCAGTTTTAAATCGTTAAAACGAGACATTAGAATCTTCTTCTCGTGTCTTTTTTTCGTTTTCTTTTTCTCTTTGACTTGAAGCCAAAAACCAATTTCATATATTCTCCTTAATCGTCTCCATCTTCTTCATCATAATCATTAATATTAAAAATTAATATCGTTTTCATACAAGTCTTCCGGTCTAATAACAAGACAATCGTTTGAAAAATACATTTCATGCACACTAATACACACACAATTACGTACTAAAAGCAAACAAAGATACGCATTCACACAAATTCACCACAAATCCGAGTTCACTTGGACTTGATTTTATTTGAAATTATCGTATTATTATATTATTATTTAACTTTTGGTTTAAACAAAGAAGTAAACAAATCACACATACTTACATACTATTTATACGTCATAAGAAGTAACTAAATCGAAAATTTTATTAGGAAGATACAGTTCTACTGGTTTCTTCTTCTAGCCATTTTCCATTTTTGAATCATTTGATTAATTATTCTTCTTGCATGAATACATTATCGTAATTGTTTTTAAAATCACAGACAGAGTGGCTGCTCTGATGTCGGAATAGCAAAGAAAAAATATGATAATAAAGAGTATTCAACTGTTGCATTCAAATGTACATACATACGTACAAACATAAATAATAAACATTATAGATTTCTTTCAAGCTGCATCTGTGTTTTGAATTTGTCTCCAATTGAAACTGAAACAAAATTCTTTCAATAGAAAACAAAAATGAAAGTGTTTGTCATCTTTGCACTGATAAATGTGATAAAACTAGCTAAACCTGCATTTAACATGTTATGAATGTATTTATAGATCTGCATGCGTTTGTGCAAATAACAATTGGAGGCTTCTAATAGAATCGAAATAAGAATCTGGTATAAATACTGCAGTTTTAGCATTATCACAACTATAGATTTTTTAACTTTGTACTGTTCTGAGTCTTTTAATCAGAACTATCGAAACAATGGTAAATAGTGGAAGAAATATCAAAAATACTCCTTTTGCATTTACTATTTCATGTAATTTTTTATTCCAGAAACTTTTCCTTATTACCGTCACCCTATTGGCCAGCACCTGGGCCCAATCACTTTCTAGTGAATATTTGCCTCCTGTGGAGGAATACTCGGGTGCCTCTAGCAATGCAGTGGAAACAAATTTTTTGGAAAATGAACCTGCTCATTCGTTAGCTGATGACGGCTATCGTTACAAAACCGTCAAACGTTTCCGTTTGCGCCATCGCCGTGATGTAAGTGAATTATCTAACAGTTACTTGCCTCCTCATGCCGCTTCTGCTCCAGCACCTGTTTATTCTGCTGCTGCTGAAGCTGCCCCAGCTCCAGTCTACTCTGCCCCAGCTGCCACTGAATCCTACGAAGTTGAGGCTTCTGAACCCGCTCCTTCCCACTCTTTCGGTGATGATGGTTACCGTTACAAAACTGTAAAACGTTATCGTCTCCGCCGTCGTCGTGATGTTAACGAATTGTCCAACAGTTACTTACCTCCCCATGCTGCTTCTGCACCAGCTCCCGTATTCTCATCTGCTGTTGAAACCGCTCCTGCTCCCGTATACTCCGCCCCAGCTGCCACTGAATCCTATGAAGTTGAGGCTTCAGAACCCTCTCCTGCTCACTCCTTCGGTGATGATGGTTACCGTTATAAAACTGTAAAACGTTATCGTCTCCGTCGTCGTCGTGATGTTAGCGAATTGTCCAACAGTTATTTGCCTCCCCATGCTGCCTCTGCTCCAGCTCCTGTATACTCAGCTCCAGTTGAAACTGCTCCAGCACCTGTGTACTCAGCTCCAGCTGCCACTGAATCATATGAAGTTGAGGCTTCTGAACCTGCTCCTGCTCACTCCTTCGGTGATGATGGTTACCGTTATAAAACTGTAAAACGTTATCGTCTCCGTCGTCGTCGTGATGTTAGCGAATTGTCCAACAGTTATTTACCTCCCCATGCTGCCTCTGCTCCAGCTCCTGTATATTCTGCTCCAGTTGAAACTTCTCCAGCACCTGTGTACTCAGCTCCAGCTGCCACTGAATCATACGAAGTTGAGGCTTCCGAACCCGCTCCTGCCCATTCTTTTGGTGATGATGGTTACCGTTACAAAACTGTAAAACGTTATCGTCTCCGCCGTCGTCGTGATGTTAGCGAATTATCCAACAGTTATTTGCCTCCCCATGCTGCTTCTGCTCCAGCTCCTGTTTACTCAGCTCCAGTTGAAACTGCTCCAGCCCCAGTATACTCAGCACCTGCTTCCACTGAAACATATGAAGTCCAAGCTTCAGAACCAGCTCATTCATTTGGTGAAGATGGTTACCGCTACAAAACTGTAAAACGTTACCGCCTTCGTCGTCGCTACTAAACAGTACAAATCTCTTTATCATTAATGACTATATGATCTATTATAATGTTTATAATAAATGATTCGATTTCAATTTATATACATATATGTAGATGTACATATAATTTATTTATTTACCATGTGGCATTTTTTTTTTACTTTTAATAGGTATTTTATACGAGTCCGTGGCACCTCGTCCATTTGAAATTTCAAAAACAAAAGCATTTCCAGAAATATAAAAAAACAATAACAGTGTTAATAAATGAATTGCGGATATTCAAGTTACTTTCTGAAGGGGGCTTTGTATGGGTGCTAGGGTCAAATGAAGTCCGATCATATCGAAATACAGCAAGGTCACCAAGGCTTATATATTTATATTATACATAATTATGAGCTCAAAAGCCCTTTTCTGGGGGTTCAGTTGTATGGGGGCTAGGTGAATTAATTGACCGATTTTAACCATGTTCAATAGGCTTAGTTCTTGGGTCAAAACAAACGTGTATTAAATCGACTCAGAAAGTGATTTTGAGTAGATCGATGCGTTACAAACATCAGTAAAAACGCATAATACCCTTCCCACTATAGTGGTGTAGGGTATAACAATAATAGTTACGAACTTAATACTTAACTTAATATTAATTGATATCATTATGAAAGGAAGTGTTCAAACTAAAAGAGTGTTTTCGCACCTTGAATTTTAAAATATATTAGAAGATGAGTCAACAGATCGGCAGAGAAAAATGAAAAATTGTTAATAGCATTATTTTAAATATTAATAATATTAAAATATGTAAATCCATCAAACGTATTAGATGAGACAGGAAACGAGTTGCAAGAGTTTGGAGTATCATGGAGCGAGATGTTGTATTTGATAAATTGAACTGGAAAACTGTTGCGGCCCTGTGTTCCGCAGGGAATTAAAGGACTAAATATATTATTTGTTTACTAGTATTTAGCACCTTTTAATATATGGGTCATTTCGTGTCAAGTGACCCAACTTTAAAATCGATGTCTTCCTATTTTGAGGAATTTGTATAAACTTACATTTTTTTAAACAATAAAGAAATAGCTATCTGAACTCCTACTGCCAGAACCAGTAGGTGAAAAGTTACACTCATTTCAATAAAAACCCAGTATGACCAAAATGTCCAAATTTGACCACCTCTAAGTTCGGCAGTTCTGGACCGATAGCTCTGAAAATTTCTGTCTGGCAAATTTCGTCAAAACCGATTTTTTGAGTTGGCTCACTTAATATAAAATTGCCAATATGCACAATGTACATATGTACATATCATCTGTGAATTTAAATTTTTTGTCAGAAATATGTTTATGTCAAAAATAGCATTTTCTTAGAAAATAAGATTTGGTCGAAATTTTAAGAAACTATAATTTTAAAGGCACAATTTTGTAAGAATTTAAAAAAGTGCTATTATTTACCATATTTTACACTTTTCAATCGATTTCCGGCACGAGTTCCCGTTATTCGATTTGGCTAAAATTTTACACCAGTTAGTTTTATACACTAATGAACAAAATTTGACCCATCTAAGCAGAATCGATATATTGTGGACACCTCTAATGTACATATACATTATTCATTTTCATACAAATTTATATTTGTATTTAAGTTCTATATGATTTTGAACCAAACCAACAATCCCCATGGAAGTCTGGTGTATTTCTTAGGATTTGGTAAAACAAACATCCTCCATTCAAACTATATAACTCCAAAATTAACATTTTGTTAGGAAATAATAATTTAAGAAAGATTTGTGTTGTCTAGGTTAGGGAGTTTTTAGACTGCCCTTCGATATATGTATTTTCTTATCAATAAAATAATGTTAACATTAATTAGCAATATCAATGTTTGATTTGGCTTCGTAGCTAGTAAATTTAACAATATAATACAAATTTTACTTATGTCTTTAGCAAAGATTTTCCCTTCATTTTTAATTATATTATCTAAAATATATATTTATACAAGTTGACTGACCCATTGAAGGGAGAGTAAATGTTCTGCATTTGCTTTAATGCCTGAAAAACGATAAAATACATAATATCATAGTCTGGAGTCATATTGATTAATTTGATATTATACGTCTTGTTCAATTTGATGTTTGTATGTACAACAAACTGTTACTTCCGAGTTAAGATACATTTGTTATACACAAACAAACACACGCACATAAAAAATACATGTACATATACATATGTACATATATGTATATGTTTTTATTTTTAATACATATAATAAAAAATAATAATAGAGAAGTATGAAGATCATGATCATTTAATAAACAATAAACAGTATTTAGCAAAGATGAGTCTAAATTGATTTGAGAAACAATAGCGTTTATTATGAAGTGTTCATAGTATATGGCCATGGTAATTTTCAACAGAAGTGAATAATGATGGCTTTCGATCGACTTAAAGAATTTTGTATAAATCAGTAAGATTGTTAGGATTTTTTATCAAACGATCGTTGGAACTCAACGTGCAACAACTTAATACAATGGTAAATAAATTGACATTAGATAAACACATTTACAAAAAAAAATATAACTATTCCTCTTTCATTTTTATAGAAATTTCTAATTATTGGCTTTGCTTTTGCGGCATTAGCGTGTGCGCAGTACGCTCCTAGTTCGGAATACCTACCTCCTATTCAGGAAGTTAGTCAGTCTTTAGAATTGGATGCCCCTTCAAACGAATATTTAGCCCCTGCTGTAGGTGAAGAAACCGTCTTGGCTGATGATGGTTATCGTTACAAAACCGTCCGTCGTCATCGTCAACGCAGACGCCGTGATGTCAGCGAATTGACCCAATACTTGCCTCCCACCCAAGAAGCTTCTTTTGAAGTAGCAGCCCCTTCAAATGAATATTTGTCTCCTGTTGTTGAAGAACAACAAACCGTATTAGCTGATGACGGTTACCGTTACAAGACTGTTCGTCGCCAACGCAAACGTCGTGATGTCAGCGAATTGACCCAATACTTGCCTCCCACCCAACAAGCCTCTTTTGAAGTAGCAGCTCCATCCAATGAATATTTGTCTCCTGCTGTTGAAGAACAACAAACCGTATTGGCTGATGACGGTTACCGTTACAAGACTGTTCGTCGTCAACGTAAACGTCGTGATGTTAGCGAATTAACCCAATACTTGCCTCCCACCCAAGAAGCCTCTTTCGACGTAGCTGCCCCATCTAATGAATATTTGGCTCCCGTTGTTGAAGAACAACAAACCGTTTTGGCTGATGACGGTTACCGTTACAAGACTGTTCGTCGTCAACGTAAACGTCGTGATGTTAGCGAATTGACTCAATATTTGCCTCCCACCCAAGAAGCTTCTTTTGAAGTAGCATCCCCATCCAATGAATATTTGGCTCCTGCTGTTGAAGAACAACAAACCGTTTTGGCTGATGACGGTTACCGTTACAAGACTGTTCGTCGTCAACGTAAACGTCGTGATATTAGCGAATTGACCCAATACTTGCCTCCCACCCAAGAAGCTTCTTTTGAAGTAGCATCCCCATCCAATGAATATTTGGCTCCTGCTGTTGAAGAACAACAAACCGTATTGGCTGATGACGGTTACCGTTACAAGACTGTTCGTCGTCAACGTAAACGTCGTGATGTTAGCGAATTGACTCAATATTTGCCTCCTACCCAAGAAGCCTCTTTTGAAGTAGCCGCTCCATCCAATGAATATTTGGCTCCTGCTGTTGAAGAACAACAAACCGTTTTGACTGATGACGGTTACCGTTACAAGACTGTTCGTCGTCAACGTAAACGTCGTGATGTCAGCGAATTAACCCAATACTTACCTCCCACCCAAGAAGCTTCTTTTGAAGTAGCAGCCCCATCCAATGAATATTTAGCTCCTGCTGTTGAAGAACAACAAACCGTATTGGCTAATGACGGTTACCGTTACAAAACCGTACGTCGTCAACGCAAACGTCGTGATGTAAGTGAATTGACCCAATATTTGCCTCCTACCCAAGAAGTGGCTTTTGAAGTTGCTGCTCCCTCCAACGAATATTTGGCTCCTATTGAGCAACAACCAACTATTTTGGCCAATGATGGCTACCGTTACAAGACTGTCAAGAAATTTAAAGTTCATCGCCATTAAATTACATATAAATACATCCCCAAATAGTTAATGATCCCCGTTCTGTGAAAATGGAATTATGTTAATAATTTCCAAAGATATTAAAAAAACTGTTATTTACAATATTTTATGTATAAATAAAATTTAAAATATAAAAATTTAAGTTTTTTGTAATTAAAAGGAATGTTATACAGTCAATTAGCTCCTTTTCGATAAAATATTTAACACAAAGAAGCCGAAATTTTTGTCCGATATTACTACAGGTAGTACTTATAAAGTATGACAATAAGAGGAACAATTTTTAAAACTTATATGCGTATCAGCAAAACTATCCTGTCTGTAAAAAATTGTAACAACTTAAACTCGGGACTTCCGATTTTTAATGCAGCGGAAGAGTTTTGAAAACATACTTTGGTTCTAGTCAACTCTTACCACATTAACCCAAATTTTCTCCACTTCCATTCATCGTTTAACCGATAGTTATTCTTCCAGTTAAGACAATTTTTGTATGAGAACTGTCAATAAATACATATATAAATATATCTTAAAGTTAAAAAATAAATAGTGTAGTTTGATTGCAAGGTTTACATGGACGGACGCACGGACATAGCTAAATCGACTCAGAAAATGATTCTAAACCGATTGGTATATATTAAGATGGGTATAGGACCAATATTAGTGTGCGTTACAAACATCAGCACTAAAGTGGTGTAGGGTATAAACATGTTTGCCGATAAAATGCACACATACTAGGTTACTTAAACATCATATGTACATACGTATATGTCATTATAAAGGCCTCAGCTTCTGCTTTATAAATCCATTGAAACTTAAAATCGGTTGATATTCAACTAAGTTACTGACTTATAAGTGCTCAAAGGTACGATAAACCGTTTTTTACCCGGATCCTTCTTTCTGAAAATTAGTATCAATTTCCAGGTATTTCAATTTTTGTTTATTTTGTCTCACTGTGTAATGCTCTGCCTTATAATTAAATAAGTGGTATTGGTATCCCGGAGTATGAAATTACGCCACATTTCATAATTCAAGGACAAGCTTATCGCAGATTTAAGTTTGTCAAAATGTTAGCAAAAGTGTTCTTGTTTAAAAGGAGTAAAATAATATATTTTTGAAACTTTTGACTCTTTATTCGCCTTCAATACGTTAATCCAGTAAATTTTAAATGTAAATAGTCCATTTCGACGTGATACACAGATTTTAACTTGATTTTGTCGAACAATATTATTAAATTAACATTCTATATTAAATATTCTCAATGTACGGGAATATTTTATAGATATGACATCTCTACATTTATTTATCCTGATGAACAATTATTTAAAACAATAAGATATCAAAATATGTATGGGGGTCCGCGAAATTAAATAAGTTCCTCAACGGATCCGCGAGGTAAAAACCGGTGGGAACCGCGACATTAGAGGTATTCAAAAAATATCGATTTTGGTCAGATGGGTCTTATTTTGTTTATTAGTGTCAAAAAATAACTGGTGTTAAATTTTAGTTCAATCGGATAGCGTGTCGGAAATCGATTTAAAAGCGTAAAATTGTGTAAATAATAAAACATTCTTGATTTCTTAACAAATTGTGGTATTAAAAAAAAATTAAAAAATTTTTTTTGAAACAGTGAAGATATAGCTTTGTAAACTTCTTTGGACAATTTTTGATAGGACCAATAGGTGAAAAAATGACAGTCCTTGACCGTTACAGCTGAAAATCATGAATATTTTGCATTGTTTTGTCTTTGTTTTGCAAACAGATGTAATGAAAAAAAATATCTAAAGTTTAGATTCTAAACGAGTAAAATATGAATTAATTAGTCGTTTTTGCTAATTATTTATAAAAAGAAAATTCCTATATCTTTGTTATTTGTCGCTTGATATTAATACTTTATACCTTGTTGCCAAGATAATTTTCTCTAGAAGATAAGATTTGTTCGAAATGTTAAGAATATATAATTTTAAAGGCAACTTTTTTGAAGAAATTAAAAAACTCATATCTTTTACCACTTTTCCGATTGACAAAAATTAAACACCAGTAAGTTAAAGGCACCAATAAACAAAATAAGACCCACCTGAGCAAAATCGATCATTTTTAGACACCTCTAATATATATACATATATTGATTTAGAGTCTAGCGCGATCAACCCATATCCGTCAGTCTGTCTGTTGAAAACACTTTTCTACAAATATTTTCTGTTGATGCAGTTTATGTGATACTGAAAATGAGCAAAATTCGGTTCATAACTGGATTAAAAATACATATAGAGTGATGGAACTAGCTTTTTATGAACCAAAATTCTTCTACAAATTTTATAAGAATCGGTCCATAATTGATCACCCAAAATGATAAATATGAACAATATAAGAAATAATGGTTTAAATTTTGTAGCTAACATTCCCATCAATTTTACTTTAGCTTTTCAGTACACAAATTAATTTTTTTAAGGAAAAATATTGAGAAAAGCCAAATGTTTCAATTCCACTTAAATTGCCGAAAGTGGTGTTTTTTTAATTGTTTAAATTTGTCTAATTAAATAACATACACTGGATTTTGGTTCCGATTTCGGACTAAATTTAGATTTAATTATATTGTGATTACTTTAATATAATATACATATATAAATCAATACTTAATTCAGTTATATATACAACAGGCCCACTGGAGGCCTAGAATTTGATGTAACTTAATTCTCCTTTCAAACTAACTAACATAAAAATATATTAAATTAGTAATTCATTGGTAAATTATTCATCATGTATTCTGCTCGGATTCATTGGTAAATTGCTCGGAAAGAAGAATATTTTCTAATTATTATTTCTCTTTAGCAAAAAGCAGGTGTAGATTGTCAAATAGCCGATTATGCCATACTATACTTTTTATTATACTTTTAAATGTACATCTCTAACTACATAAACACAAATTTGAATGGGATTCCATTCATTTTATCCATCAAATTGTGTAGATTTTTTTATTTATTAGGTTATAATGGGTTGCCAAAATAAAAAAATAAAAGTAAATGTTGAACTTCTGGTTGTTAAAAAATTCTCAAGTGGATCATCATCTATAATTGTTGTTTTTTAAGTTTCTTCATCACTACATACATAAATAAATAATAGTATCCACTTAATTTGTATTTGAAATGTTTGAGTAGAAGTATTTCTCTAAAATCAATAGAATCGAAAAGTTAAGAATGAAGAGGCGAATGTGTAGCAAAACTATCTAACGATCTATCGCTTTGTTTTCAAAATTTTTAATAATGCGTATTCCAATAAGTTAGTATGTGTGCGTGTTTTTATATATTTTTTTTTCTTTTCATCAATAATGCTTTGTTTTCTTAGAGATTGCTCGAACTGATCAAGAACAAATCACATAAAGTCAAAGAGTTGTATATAAAGATAGTTCGCAAATGTGTAGATTATCAATCGTTTTCTAACTTTACGAGGTGTAAAATCATCTCAGAAATGGTAAATTCGAAGATCGTCAATGTGTTACAACAGAGATTTAATATTATTTAAAAACTATTTTTCTTTTTACTACTTAGAAAGCCATATTTGTTCTATTGGCAGTAATTGCCACAGCTTATGCTGCTTTGCCATCCAGTGAATACTTGCCACCTTTGGAGGATGCGTCTCCTACTAGCAATCTAGACCTACAATCGCTAGGTGAATCGAGTCCACTTGCTGATGACGGTTATCGTTACAAAACTGTAAAACGTTTACGTTTGCGCCATCGTCGTGATGTCAATGAATTGCCATCAAACGAATACTTGCCTCCTACAGAGTCAGCTCCAGCTGTAGCTGATATCCCAGTAGTTGATACCGCTGTTGAACCTGAACAAGATACCGCTGTTTTAGCTGATGATGGCTACCGTTACAAGACCGTTAAACGTATTCGTTACCGTCATCGCCGTGATGTCAATGAATTGCCCTCATATGAGTACTTACCTCCTACTCAAGAATCTCAAGTTGTGGAAGAAGCTGCTCCTGTTGCTGCCGCTGAAGAATCTGCTGTTCTTGCTAACGATGGTTATCGTTACAAGACCGTTAAACGTATCCGTTATCGTCATCGCCGTGATGTCAACGAATTGCCCTCCAACGAATACTTGCCCCCTACCCAAGAAACCCAAGTCGTAGAAGAAGCTGCTCCAGTTGTTGCTGCCGCAGAAGAATCTGCTGTTCTTGCTAACGATGGTTACCGTTACAAGACCGTTAAGCGCATCCGTTATCGTCATCGCCGTGATGTCAACGAATTGCCTTCCAACGAATACTTACCCCCTACCCAAGAAACCCAAGTCCTAGAAGAAGCTGCTCCAGTTGTTGCTGCCGCTGAAGAATCTGCTGTTCTTGCTGATGATGGTTACCGTTACAAGACCGTTAAACGCATCCGTTATCGTCATCGCCGTGATGTCAACGAATTGCCCTCTAACGAATACTTGCCCCCTACCCAGGAAACCCAAGTCGTAGAGGAAGCTTCTCCAGTTGTTGCTGCCGCTGAAGAATCTGCTGTTCTTGCTAACGATGGTTACCGTTACAAGACCGTTAAACGTATCCGTTATCGTCATCGCCGTGATGTCAACGAATTGCCCTCCAACGAATACTTGCCCCCTACCGAAGAAACCCAAGTCGTAGAAGAAGCTGCTCCAGTTGTTGCTGCCGCAGAAGAATCTGCTGTTCTTGCTGACGATGGTTACCGTTACAAGACCGTTAAGCGCATCCGTTATCGTCATCGCCGTGATGTCAACGAATTGCCTTCCAACGAATACTTACCCCCTACCCAAGAAACCCAAGTCGTAGAAGAAGCTGCTCCAGTTGTTGCTGCCGCTGAAGAATCTGCTGTTCTTGCTGACGATGGTTACCGTTACAAGACCGTTAAACGTATCCGTTATCGTCATCGCCGTGATGTCAACGAATTACCCTCCAACGAATACTTGCCCCCTACACAAGAAACCCAAGTCGTAGAAGAAGCTTCTCCAGTTCTAGAGTCTGCTCCTTTGGCCGATGATGGTTATCGTTACAAGACTGTAAAACGCGTCGTTTACAGACGTCGTGTTTAAATGAAATATTCAACAATGATAGCAATTAGTTTTAGAAAATAAAATCAACGAAAAATGTAGAATTGAAAAGATATAAAATAAATAATACATGTACATGTATGTATGTATATTGTACATAAAATTAAATAATGAACATTCTAACATTCTAAGTTTACGTTATTGATTACGTATTTATTCTTAAATTTACGTTATTATTCTTAAATTCTAAGACGATCTAGACATGTCCGTCCGTCTGTCTGTCTGTTGAAAGCGCGATAGAGTTCGAACGGAATAAGCTAGAGGATTGAAATTTTCCACAAATACTTTTTATAGGTAAGGTTTGTTTGATGTTGAAAATGGGCAATATCGGTCAACGTTTTCGGATAGCCCCCATATAAGTGGACCCTCGAAAAAGAGCTTTAACGGGCATATCTGTTTTAAAAGTACGAGTATAGCGATGAAATTCGTCATAAATAAGTTTCATATGAGCCAAAATCTCCCTACCAAATTTTATTAGGATCGGTTTATAATTGACCCTACCGCCCATATAAGGTCCCCTTCAGAAAAAGGCTATAATGTTCATTACTGGCTTAAAAAGTAGAATATAGCGTTGAAATTCGACACACTTAAGTTTCATGCGAGTCAAAATCCATCTACCAAATTTTATATGGATCGGTCAATAATTGAACCCACCCCTCTTATAAGATCCCCTTCAGAAAGTGACATTAACCCTCATTTCTAGCTTAAAAATACGAGTATAGCTATGAAATTTTACATAAGTCTCTTACGAGCCAAAACCTCTCTACCAAATTTTATGCGGAACGGTCCATAAATGACCCTATCGCCCATATAAGGTCCCCTTCAGCAAATGACTTTAACGTCTTAAAAATACGAGTACAGCGATGAAATTTGACACACATAAATTCCATGTGAGCCAAAATTTCTTTATCAAATTTTATGTTGATCGGTCAATAATTCACCCTACTTCTCATATAAGGTATTCTTCAGTAAATTTGATGAGTAATATCACCCTGATATTTATAGAGCAGCATTCCTTTTACGGCATACGGTTTGATGGTGGGTATATAAGATTCGGCATAGCCGATATAGCACTCTTACTTGTTAACTTAAGTGTGTTGGCAGAGTATTAAACTCTGTCAGGTTTTCCCACAAAAATAGAAGTGTTACATCATAAAAACATCATAATAAGGCTACAGGTCTATTTTAATATTTTTCAAAAAATCAAAAAGTTACTTAGAAACATTAAAGTCACCCGATTTGAGAAGGGAAGAAACATCATAGTACTTCCTAAAAAAGTCAATTTTGCGCCTCAAGTTGTCAAATTTAGTAAATTTGAAAATTATATGATCAGAAGTTTCAAACATCACAAAGATAAGAGGGTCAATTACGTCAATTTTGCTTAAACTGCCTATAAAAAAAATAATATCACTTTAATCACATCAGCCGCTGTACAAAAACCCAACAAAAACTCGCTAATGGGTTTTACTTTCATAACCACTTACTTTTCAATGACTACTAGAAGAAGTACTCTAGTAATTACTTTCTTATAATCTGATATAGAAGTACTTTATTTTCGGATTTGTCATTTTGTTTGCACATTTTCTTTAATTGCGTGTTAAGAATTGTGTCTTACGAAAAAAAAAATTAGATTTGTATGTGAAAACCATTATTTGACGCGCAATAAAGTAGCTAAGCAATGGTGCACTGAGTATAACATTTGACTAACAAATCGAAGTCCCTGGTTCGTATTCTAGCTGGCTCTTTTTATTATTAAAAAATAAAACAACATACTAAACATTTTCTTTGTAAGAGAAATTGCAAGCACTTCTTCAACTCCCTATTTGTAAGTACTTGCCTCCAATGACATCACCGTGTTAAAATAATGATTTAAAATGCGAATAAAGAAGTAGTGAAAAGAGGTTTTATTAGCTCATTCCTTTTCAATGTGAGTTTTTCCTGGGAAAGTTCTCTATGTATTATAATGCTTTCTACTTGTTATTAACGTCAAAACGAAAAGCGAATTTTTCGCGTATATTTTATTAATAAACATTTAGTTTAAGTTCGAATGAGAGACACCTACTTCATATATCAGGATTAATTTTTCAAATCTCGTGATCAGTTTGAACATGATTTAAATAATGATATTTCTTAGAAAAGTATTCTCTGTGTAAAGAATAAAATTTGTGTAAATATTATTAGAATAATTTTTTTTTTAAATATGGATTATTAAATTTGTGTAATTCGTTTTGAGGAACTTAGTGGAACGTTCTGGCAACATTAAAGTGTTATAGAAAAAAGAAGACTGCAATATCGGCATTGGTACATAAGAATAATAATAAGTACAGACGACAACCAACAAAAATAAGTAAAGTCAGCAACCAGAAAAAATGGTATAAATTTTACATATATGTAATAAGCAAAATATATAATAAAAAGGAAATACGTAAGTATATTATAATATTCATGATGTTAAACATAAAATAAATTATTAACTCGATTTTTATATATTTAGTTCATATTATTTATAACTTTTAATACCCCACGCCACTGTAGTGGGGAGGGTATTATGCGTTTGTGCTGATGTTTGCAACGCCCAAAAATATTGGTCCACCTTACAACTGTATCCCCTAAAAGGCTTTTGAGCTCATAAATATGTTAAATGTTATTGTATCTCTCCAGAAATCGGCAAAATTGTATTTTATGTAAGTCCAAATGGTACTGCAAATTTTCGTAATGATCCCATACAAAGTACCCATCAGAAAATCACTTGATGGTTATAAACGATAATATCACGATGTAATTCTGTATAAATAACTTTAATGTAGACGTAAATCCCTCTACCAAATCAAGTTAAAGTTGTCTAAACAATTGTTCAAGCTACTTTGTCATAACGATGCTATAACGCTAATAAATGGTGACTATACTTGATAATTTTTTTATAATGATAACAAATTAGCGTTTAGAATAACAAAAATTTATCAAATCTATTTTTGATAAACAAAACAAAATTAATTTTGTTAACGAGATATAGAACACTGTATTATCGTCACTTTAGATATTTAACAACAAAAACAGCAGCATACATTTAGGATAAAAATAAAAACTCCAGTGCCTCGTTTCTGCAAAATGTACGCATTAAAATTTAACAACAAAATATATAAATTTCTCATAAATTTTCCGACAATTTTTCTCGATACGAAAAGTACAGAAACGGGGCACAGCATGCTTTTTACATGTAATTGTCAAATTTCACTGACTTTGAAAAATTTAACATAACGGAATTAGTGTGGTTGTATTTTCCTTTTTATTTACCACAGTTATTTAATTCACCACTTTTTCACACCATAATATATAGAAAATAAAATTGCGTTGGTAGGAAGGTTTGTTATGGTACGCTTGTCAAAAACTAACTAATTGTTTATCGGCGATTTATCATCACTATAATAAACTATGTAAATAAATAAGGTGGCATCATCAGTATAAAATCCAGCAGATTATGTATGATTGCAAAAACCCCCTAAGTATAAAAACAACAAAAACTGGTATACTTTGACAGAACTGTGCTCTTTTACAAGAACAAAGTGCCTCTTTATGATGCTACATGTTGGTGTTGTTGTCAAACTGCCTATACCATGTTAAGTGTACCCTGGATATGTACATACATATGTATAATTTTGTTTTCGTCTTAAAGAAAACAAAACGAAAATTTTGAACAAATCATTGTGGATTCTTTTATATTCAATTGAGAATTTAACGTCGGCATCAGTGTTTGACGGAAGAAGTGAAGAATTTTTAAATTGTTTTGTTGTCGGTTGGTGGTGGGCTGCAGTTTTTTTCTAAAAGGTGATAAAAGTAACTAATATAAACAGTTCTATACATAATAAAAACGGAACAGTGAAAGTAAGAAGATTACTAACAAAGTGCCATAGATGAGTTATAATGAACGATTAAAGTGGAAATAAGTTTTAATTAAATAACATAAAAAATTACTTCTAATTATTAAATCACTAACTTGATATTTGTAAAAATAATTTTGTTGATGAAAACTCATATTAAGGAAAAACTAAAACTTTAATGAAATCGAATTTGTTTTTAACAAATCATACGAAGAACGCATTCCACGCACTGTCGCCGATGTAGAGTAAATACCATTGACCTTTATTTGACATTAATCAAGAACAAACGAAAATATTTTTTTAACTCGTGAGATAGATACAAAGTTATTTTCAAGTTCTAAAAGTACTGTGCATTGAGTGAAACTATTTATTTCCTTAATTTTGTTATTGCTCTGAACAAATCGAGGTAGAATAATAATTTATTATTTATGCAACATAATTGCAAAATTTGTTTTATTATTGTTTACTTACATTATGTGGTTTTATACCTATATACATATATTTAATATTTTGGTGGTAAAATATAATTAGAAAGTGTAACGGCATTAAATATAAAAAACATACATACATATAACTATAAATAAGTATATACATATGTACATACATATGTGCAAAAAATGATAATGCAAGAGCAACAAAAATAAACATCAAATAAATAAAATGAAATAAAGTAAAGTAAAACAGGAATGAATAACAGATTAAATTTAACAGAAATTAAGCAAACGAGAGATGCCACACAAACTTGTTTTATTTCAATTAAATTATAAAATAGGTACATACATACATACATAGTTCACATAAAGGACATCTTAATTAAGTTCTAATATTTACCCACATACATACATAAATATAAGTATAGATGGATACACATGTACAATGGGGCCAATAACATTTCAATGTTATTTTTTAAAATATGACATAAGGCAAATGTCGCATTTTTTCGAATTTTTGTTTTATGTTAATAGTTTTGTGCAAATATTCATTAAATTCGCAGTTTTACCGAAATTAAATGTTAAAATATGAAATCTTTAATAATGTATAATGTAATGTAATTATGACTAAAGTAATATTTTTTATTTGTATGTAAAAGTATTTTTGAAACATGTTTATAATGATATAAACATCCAATTAAAATAAAAGTTCAAACGTAAATAATTTGTACTTTTTAAATCAGTTTAATTCTTTATTTATTAAACTAACGATCGATAAGACTATTCACACACGTAACAAATTAAGTTATTGGTATAGAAAATATGTATGTATTTATGTACATATGTGTTTTACCACAGAAACACCAAACAATAAATACCTATTTGCATTGCAAAAAAATAAAATTATATTTTATTACTTAACCAAAAAATGTTTATACATATATTTTATAGATAAATATAGGTACCTAAAGGTATAAGAACATACTTTCTTCGGTAATCATTAAATGGAAATTATCTGATAAATGAATAAACTGTATGATAAAGAAAATACTATACTGTTAGACAATATTATTATTCATTTTAATTTTTGAAGAAAAGAGTTATTTCGAATCATAAATGACCTTTTTGACATTACATATGTATTTTTTCATTATTCCCGAATAGACATACATACATATGTATGTACATAATTTAGAAAACCCAATACAAACATTTCATATTACAAAATATTTTTGAATATAAATACATATTTTTAAATAATAAATACACTTTATTAAGATCGCAATAAAAATATCAATTTTAATATTATTTTCATAAATAAAAATTAATTTTGTATCCTGATCAAATTTAGTACGGAAGAAATTTTTAATCAAATTTACTGATTAAGAAGGAGAATAATAATAAAATAAATTGATACATTGCAATAATGAAATTTATTGAAATCAGATCAGACTAAATGCGAAAAAATATAGGCTTAATCTTGAAAGATAAATGTATATATAAATGAATGTGTGTTTATTTGTTTGTTTGAAGTTTATAGACGCCCAGCAAAAAAATGTGTGGAAAAATATGTAGTATTTTCATCACAACTAGTAACCCGAAGTGCTTCAAATTCAGATGAAAAACCTATGAATTTTACATTAGCTTGTCATTGGAGGGATGTTGTTAATTTTTGACAGCTTTGAACTACATCTAATCTTATTTTTAAAAGCAGTAAAAATCCGATATTTGGATGTCAAAAATAAACCACAATCTTTCAATGACACGCTTTTGTAAATTACATTAGTTTTTCACCAAAACTTGATGTACTTCGAATATGTTATCTACATCTCTTTTCTCACTTTTAATGGGGTTTCATTTGTAAGGAAATATTTGGTTTATAAATGCGAAAAATATGTAACTGCCGGTCCACACTAGGAAACTTTTTTTGGGAAACTTTTGATTTTGCGTGAGAGAGAAAGAGAAAGAATATCATTCATCTCTCTCGCGGTACGGAGTTTTCCGTACTCGGAAACCTGTTTTGTTTTGTTATTCTTCTCATTCGTACAACAACAAATCAATGCAATTAATACCCCTGCCAGCAAATTTGAGTTTAATTTTGGATAAATGAACTAAATTTACACTATTTAGGCCAAACTTCATGCTTCTCAGTGCTAAATAAAAATATTTACAAAAACAAAATACATTATTTTCTAATTTTTATCCCATTTTTGTAAAATTTAAGTTCGATCTAATATACCAAAAAGAAACGTAAATGATAATAATTAGATAGAATAAAAAGAAAACTTTTTAATACACTAACAAGATAATTTAAGGCAGAATTATTTTTGCTCTCAAAATTTAAAAGAAAAAGTGTTTGTATATTTCAGTAAATATATTAAGTTTATGGTGATCAGTTGTGTGAATAGTAACACATTGTGAAATTTTGTAATGATTTTATTTAAAATTTAATATATAAAAAATAAATTTAATATATAATAAACATAAGTGAGAGATTAGTGAGTATAAACAATTTTAAATTATTCATAAGGTAAGAGAAATAAAGAAAATGTTTTATAAAGTCGCTTTTACTACATAAAATAGTGTAAAATTAGATAAATGTCCAGTTTCCCTATTGCTATGGCAAAACTGGAAATTTTACTAATTTTACGCACTTTTATGCTATAAAAAAGTGACTTAAAACTGAAACGAAATCGACACACTAAGTAAGTATTAAACAGGAGGAACAGTTTCTTACCAACGCGGTCACTTTTGTTCCTTTCAAATTGTGCAATATTAGATGTTTTTTAGATATTTTTACCTATACGTTGTTACGTTATGGATACTATTTAGATAGCAATTGTTTGCAGGGACGTAGTTTCTGAAACAAAAGTTTTCATGTGTGGACATTAAGGAAACTTCAAAAGAGTATTAAGAAAAACTTTCTCAACAAAAGTTTCCTAGTGTGGACCAGGTCTAAATGTACCTATTTTTAGATGTGATTAAGATGTTTGTAAAGTATGACATCAATTATTTTTTGCTGGGCGGCTAAACGGCTGGACCGATTTTCTTGAAATTTTAACAGTGCCTTCCTGTATATCTGGAAGGAACTATAGGCTACTTTTTATTTTAAAATTTCAAGTTATTAAATAACTATTAAAAGTCATATACATATCTTGGAAACTGGTACAATTAGAGTCCTCAAATTTTGCACTGACAACTTTGACATCCATAAGAATATTTTTGGACAAAATGGGCGGAATGACTATAGTGGCACCTTCCATATTAAGAAAATATTAAATCAGTATATCTCGGAAAATGTGACAGTTAGAGCTCTCAAATTTGGTCGGAGCCACATAAGTCTCAATATGATTAGTTAGGATAAAAAGTGGGCGGACTAGCAGCCGATTCCATATTAATTAAATACACAAATTCGTTTATCTTGGAAACTATTAGTGTTAAATACTTCAAATTTTGAACGAAGAACTTTAGCATCCATGTAAATATTTTGGGTACTAAATTGGCGGACTACCAATGGGGGGAGCGGCACCTCCCATATGAATTAAATACAACAAAATATTTTATCTAAGAAACTGATAGAACTGGATTCCTAAAATTTTCCAAAAAGGACTTTCATATTCATCTGAACATTTTGGGAGGAAAAAGTGGACTTTCATCATCAAATAAATTAAAATCCTTATTAGCGTTCACAAAAATTGGCGAACTTGCAATAATGTGAGTGGTATCTCCCATGTGTAAGTAGGTTTTTTTGCTTTTAGGGTAGCAAAGCACACTGGGTATAGCTAGTTCAATATAAAAATGCATTTTATGATAAGATTATTATAAATAATGACAAGATAGTAAGAGTGATGCTTTTCCTTAATCATAAATTATTAAACATGCAAATACAAAGTGCATAATAAATACATACATACGTACATATGTATAGTACATACATATAAGAAAGACAAATTGAAAAATAGCGCCAATTGTATGCACACGATAAACAAATTATATTTATATACAAATATATATGAATGACCATACAAAAATTTTGGCAATGACAATCTAAACATCATCACCAGTTGGCAATAGGCCCATTCAATGATGCGATCATTTGGTACTCATATGTACATATATCCGGTTGTTTCTGTATATACATACACATATATAATATGAATATTTTTGTTAGAAGTAATAATTTACGCTTTGATGAGATTTTTAACTTCCTTTATTTTCACAACATTTTTAAATTTTATAAAAAATTAAAAAAAATGTTCCCTACGTAAAAGTTTATTTATAATTACTAAAACACATATATAGTTACTAACAATAAAAAGAAGCTGGACAAAGGGTTTGAAGTGATTACAGTTTATTATTAATATTTTTTCTATTACGTAACTTAAATGTATTAATAAATTGTAATTCAACTGGCGTCTTTTGGTCCGCAATCAGTAAAAAGTGTATTGACAACAAATAATATATTGTTGTCATAAGTGTTTAGTTCTCTAATCTATCATCCATGTTCACTGATTGATGAAAATATTTACTCCTCACGGGGTTTACACGTACTCTAGAAATGCAGTGCTAAAATTAATTAGAAAGCCTTATAGATTAAAAAAAAATTGTTGCATGTATAGTAAATCGACACACTCTGGAGGGAAAGCAAAATCGTGTTTTTTACCTCTCTTGCATTAGTGGTTGTTCGTGAGCTACACCAATTTCCAAAAGTTATTTTTAATTTTTATTGTAAATTAAAAAGAAATTTGAGGGACATATTTTCAAAATATTATTTAGTGAAAATAATACTATACCTACTTACATATATTTAGATTACGTATTTACTTTTAAAAAAAATACTCTAAAATTTAAAAAGATAACTAAAAACATCTTTTTTAAATCGGTCCAGCACACAGACGGCTATCCCTTGACGTAAATTATTTTGGGAATCATCATAAAACAAAAAGGTTTTCTAAGCCGAGTAAAATTATTAATTAGAAGATGTAAAATCATGACTACTTTAAAATTGTTTACGGTTTAGCACTATATAAATACTACCTAAACATTAGTAAGAGTTGGACTAATGTTTAGGTAGTATTTATTCGAAATCGTTGGTAACACTTAATACAAGTGATGTGATTGGGGCTTATCTGTAAGCTAATCAGAGAAATAATATAATTTTAAATATTTTGCATTTAAACGTATTAAAGTGTCGGTATTGCAAACACTGAATTCTTAATGTTGCGGAGACAATTATCTTTTCGATTCGAGGACGAAGACTATGGCCATAATGGTTATGAAAACAGGGTTCGCTAGGATTTCGGATGTTTAGCATACGAAAGAATAATATTTTATTTTTAATTGGTTACAGATGAATCGACGTTATTCACGCGTGGAGTCCGGAGGGGACTTAAAGGACTATTTCGATCGTGGAGATATCGCTTCTCGTGAGAATCGGTGGACTTTTGAAATTGCTTGGGAAGTAGCAAATAAAGTTGGTGGCATTTACACGGTAATACGATCGAAAGCTTATGTGTCAACAGAAGAAATGGGCGAACAACTGTGTTTAATGGGTCCTTATAAGGAGCATTGCGCCCGCACAGAAATTGAAGAAATGGAATTCCCTCGTGGCAATCCTCTTTTAGATGCTGTCAATACTATGAGATCTAGAGGCTATAAAATTCATACTGGTCGCTGGCTAGTCGATGGGAATCCCCAATTGATTTTATTCGATATTGGTTCAGGGGCATGGAAATTGGACCAATTCAAATCCGAGCTGTGGGAAAAATGTCACATTGGTAAATTTTGCATTTATTTCGTTTTTTTGGCAAGAATTTATAAGTCTCATTTTATAGGAATTCCCCACTTGGACATTGAAACAAATGATGCTATTATTTTGGGCTACATGATTGCGGAGTTTCTGGAAGAGGTACAAAGTAATTTGAGTCCTATTTAAAGAATTTTACTAACTTTTTAAAATCTATATATGCAGTTTCGCAATCGAGCTGTCGATTATTCCCAAGCCAATGAATTGCAAGTTCCTCGTGTAGTTGCTCACTTTCACGAATGGCAGGCTGGCGTTGGGCTTATTGCTTTGCGTACACGTCACGTTGAAGTTGCTACTGTATTTACTACTCATGCAACGTTGTTGGGTCGCTATCTTTGTGCTGGAAACACCGATTTTTATAATAACTTGGATAAGTTCGCCGTAGATGACGAGGCTGGCAAGCGACAAATCTACCATCGCTATTGTTTAGAACGTGCTGCCACCCATTTGTCGCATGTCTTTACCACAGTCTCTGAAATTACTGGCTATGAGGCCGAGCACTTGTTGAAACGAAAACCAGATATTATAACGCCAAATGGATTGAATGTTAAAAAGTTTTCAGCAATTCACGAATTCCAAAATTTACATGCAATGGCCAAGGAAAAAATTAATGAGTTCGTTAGAGGTCACTTTTATGGGTAAGAGATTTGAATTGCTAACTTCGTTTTAAAAAAAAACTTCGTTATGATTTCGTAATCAACTTAATCAATGCATTATTACAGACACATGAACTTTGATCTTGATAAAACTTTGTACTTTTTCATCGCTGGTCGATATGAATTTGGTAATAAGGGTGCTGATATATTTATCGAATCCTTGGCCCGCCTTAATGCCATGTTGAAACACGAAAAGCCAGATACAACCGTTGTAGCATTCTTGATTTTCCCCACCAAAACTAACAATTTCAATGTCGACTCTTTACGCGGTCATGCTGTAGTCAAACAATTACGTGACACCATTAATAATGTACAGCAAGGTATTGGCAAAAGGTTATTTGACTCCTGCCTCAAGGGTCACATACCCGGAACTGAGGAGCTTCTTACAAAAGACGACTTGGTTAAGATAAAGAGATGTATGTACGCTATGCAGCGTGACAGCATGCCACCGGTTACCACACATAACATTGTAAGCCGAGATTATATATCTGTCTAAATGCTAACTCATTAATTAAACTCTGTTGTTAAAAATCTATAGGTGGAGGATTGGAATGATCCCGTCTTAAGTGCAATCAGGCGATGTCAGTTGTTCAATTCTGTTAATGATCGAGTTAAGATGGTATTTCATCCTGAGTTTTTGACTTCAACCAATCCTTTGTTCGGTATTGACTACGAGGAGTTTGTGCGTGGTTGCCATTTGGGCGTATTTCCATCATACTATGAGCCCTGGGGCTATACACCAGCCGAATGCACAGTTATGGGTATTCCTAGTATTACTACAAATCTATCTGGTTTCGGTTGTTTCATGCAGGAGCACATTAGTGATCCCAAATCCTATGGTATCTATATTGTCGATCGCAGATATATTGGCTTAGAAAACAGTGTTCAGCAGCTCTCCAACTATATGATGGAATTCTCAAGGCTTAACAGAAGGCAGAGAATTATTCAGCGAAATCGTACGGAGCGCTTGAGTGATTTGCTTGATTGGAGAACACTTGGCATTGTAAGTAAATTGAATATTCTCATCAGATATCTCAAATAATTTGTTACCTTATTTTATGTGCAGTACTATAGACAAGCACGAGTTAAGGCTATACAAGCTGTTTATCCAGATTATGTCGATGAAAGTTCTGTATACGGTTCTCGTAATAATTTGAGTTTCTCTAGACCCTTCAGTGAGCCCCCAAGCCCTTCTTCATCAAGTAAGATTTGCTAAAAGATTGTTTTATTACTGCCTTGAAAGGTACATGACATTTGCTTTCCTCTTTTGCTTTAGGACATACAACTCCGGCCCCTTCAGTACATGGTTCCGATGATGAAGACTCTGTTGATGAAGAAACCGAACTCAAGGAATTGGGTATAAAATAAATTTGTATGTGCGTGTTCCTATTTTACAATAATGACCATGACCTTTTACGTATGATTGCTGCAATATAGCGCGCACACATTTTTATAACGTTTTTAAAAATGACACAAAATGATGATTAATTCGAACAACTCAATAACAATGATAATCAAGTACCTCAAGAATTTGAAAACAGTTTAATCCTCAAACTTTGATATACAAACATTTTAAAAGATTTTTTAACTTGTTAATAGAAGAAACCTTAATTATCAACAAACATAGCCGACGTTCACTTTTACAATTAAAATACTAATATAAACTATTCAATTTTATGATGACATTAGAAAAATTTAAAGAAAAATAAGCTAAAATATTAAATTACTATTAATTAATTATTTAAACAGTAAAAACAAAATTGATTAAAATATTTCAAAGGTTTTATTTTATTTTTTTGTGATTATTTGTGTGATTCGTATGATAAAGGAAGCACAAATATTGTAAGTTTTGTGTAGATCAAACGATGCTGAGGACCTAAATTTTTATTTGAAATGCCTACATATGTAAGTATTTTCTTTCTCTTTAAAAGGATTTACTGCATATACCGACGGCTATACTTCGATCTAGTAAAAGTATGACGACGTCTACGTACATTTTCAAGGTCATCATTGTTAAAAGTATCATATTCCAAATATTCATCTTGGGCTTCTGGCAACTCCGCCCATGGATCGGAAGTAGTGGGAGATGATTCTGTACCGCTTCCTTCAATGTCGTTGCAGTTTTCACTAATGGTCCCATTGGGCAATCTGCATTTAGTTTTATCTTTTTGCCAACCACCCCGATGAAAATCAAAATCGTCTTCGGACTCAACGTCTTCAATGTGGGGTCCCATTACTGGATACCATTGCGGTGGATACATTTCGAAAGGAGGTCTGGGATAGGTCATGAAACATCTGTTGCACTGGGCTGGTACTCCTCTTTGTAATACATAGTAATATGTTAAATGCTGACAACGTCTACAAATTGAATGTTCATAATTATCCATTCCTACTTTATGGCCACATGCAACATAGGGCCAATAAGGTATGGAGACACATTTATTTCGCATTCTAATCAGATGTTTCTTACGTGAATGGTATGGAATATATTTTACTATTTCACGACAATTCTCTTCTAAATAGTCTACATTTTCTTCCAATGGAAGTGTATTTTCGCATAGAGTAACACGTTTGGCCATCATTACTCGTGAAATACATTGTTTGCCACAAACACGATGACGTTTGCGATGGCAGTGAGCTGCTGTCGAAAACTGCTGAGTTTCACAATTCTTCGATGATCTTACTATTATGCAACAGGGATCGGTGTTATTATAACCTAAGCCAAATTTACCACCTACTCTTGAAGTATTCTGATGGAAGTGGACTATGTTTTCATTGCGATAAGTTATATTTCCCTGATGATTTTCTATAATATTACGAATTTGGTTCGTCAGACGTATTATATTTGTGGTATTTAGGGGCTTTGCGGCTGGTGAAGTGAAGTCTGTATCGTTAATGCCCTGTACTACAATTTTCTCTTTTACTAGAAACGGACAAACTGGACACTTCGTTATGCAGGCAACAGGACTCTCCACAGCTTGACATACATTTTTACATTTTTCTAGATTCTCGTGACATTCCTGATATTCTTTCAGCGTTGGCTGGTCATAATGTTGAAGTTGCGTGTGAATTACAATGGGTTTTCCATCCACAACTTGTTTGGTTGAATGGTTCCAAGATGTTCCATCTATAACTGTGATATTTTCGTAATTTTCGCTAGCGACCAATGTGCACAAACACGAATTGAACAGAAATGTAAGTGCGAATACCTTAAAATAGAAAAGACCATAAAAAATTTGAACAGATTACATTACGTTTCTGTATTTACTTTAGCCTTCATTACTTAAAAATTGATAAAACTCTTATCATATAATTGACGAGCTAAATATGTCTTATTCAAACAAAAACTTAAACGATACTAAACCGTTGAAAATTAACAAAAATATTTTTCGATTACTAATACATTCCATTATCGCAAAGATAAGTTATTTTTTTTAATGCAATTTCTGTAGTATCAGTAACAACAAAAAATTCAATCTAGTTACTGTTACTGTTCACAATTTTACTCTTTATGAATTTTTTAAATTATTATATTAATGTAACGTAAAACTGAAAATTTGATTTATAATTTCCTCAATACAGCGGAGTCAGGAAAGAGTAAACTAATTAATGCAAGTCCTTTTCACAATTTTCCTAATATAATGAAGTCAGGATAGGTTCACGGTCAAATTAATTTTTTGCAAGAAATAATGGACTAATTAGTTATATTAAAATGTTAAATAGTAAAGCGATGTCATATATTTACATATCACTAGAAAGACAAAAAATAGGGCAATACTTAATAACCGATTTTTAATATAATTTTTTTTTTTTAATACTACGTTTTTGAACGAATTTTTTTGGTTCATTTGAATAGGTTCATCATAAATTGACAAAACAAAAACAATAACAACAAAATGAAAATTTCAAACTTTTTTAATTTTATAGACATTTTTATAAGGTTTTACAAAAGATTTAGTAATGAGTGTATCCGCCCATTATTCGATATAACTTCGAAAATTCGAACTTAGTTAAATATATAAAGTTATAAAAATTCTCAATTAATGACAAGGAAAATTCGGGAAAAGCTTTTTTAATTCCTTCAATTTGAGCTTCTTTTGTGCAATAGTGTCTGAACGACTTAGATATATACATACTTTACGAGAAAGAATATCCCAAACCTTTTCAATAATAAATAGTTTAGAAGAGGCTACTCCATACGAATCTACCCTTTTTTATCCATACTATTGAAGTAAGGATGGGCGAATTATTTTTTTAAAAGAAAATGTTAGAAAAATGTGGATACATGATTTCAAGCATGGCTTTATAATTATTAGAGTTCAATACTAGATAAAAGAAATTTAAGCTCACATGTTTCGTAGTGTGAAATTGCTCCCACACGGCTATGCAGATGAATTTGTTAGAGATATTCCTTTCAAAAATCATAATTCAGATCTGAGTTGGGGTACAACTTTTGCGTCATCGCAATTATTTCTAAAGGGCGATCAGACTTGTGTTTGTTGCCAAGCTTTCGTCAGAGTTGCGTCTCACTCGCACAGTAAGGTGACGAGCAACATTGAGGTATTCGATTGGTAAAAAGTGAATAACCAGACTGCTTTATACACTTGTACGTTTAAAAAGTATTCGACTTTTATTATTGGTATTGGATATGGTGTACATTGACACATTACATTATTGAACATAATTTTGAGAATATATCTTCTTTAAAAGCCTTATTAACTTAAAGCAATTTTAAATCCTCTAAACAAAACAACACTAATTACATTTTGTCAAAACACTTATGAATTTCAATTCTAATGGGTCATTGGTGTTATCAATTGGTTCTCTGAGAATGGTTTTTAAAGATCTTTAATTACATCATTACATTCATAGCATAACAAAATTTAAAAAAAAAAAACTTTTAGTTATTCAGTATGAATTCAGATGTGATAGGAAATACAACTTATAGTAATGGGAGGAATACGCTTTCTTTGCATTTTACCGTCATATTTTTTTGTTTTAAACATTTTGATTGCGAAATTTAATTTAATTCAAACACAAAGTAATGGCCCAGTGAGTAAAATTACATATTAAAAATTATCAAATTACAACAATGTTTTGGTTCTATTGTAATGATTAGACAACTGAAAGATGTCCTGAGGGATATATTCTTTACACAAATCAATTATGCTATCCGAAGGGAAATTCGATGAAACGATGTCCAGACGGATATATTCGTTACACGAACGAATTGTGCTATCCAAAAGGAAAGAAATCGGATGAAAAGGAGACACAATTCCAACAATCAGCAATCGTTGCCACACTTATTACAACTGCATTGCGTTCGCCTGTGGGACAAAAAAATAATAGCTGTCCATACGGTTCTATTATGATCAAAAATAAATGTCGCAAAATTCTGTGCTCCTTGGGAGAATATTACAAGGGCTCATGTTTACATCCAGTTTGTCCCTCAGGATTGGTATGGCGTGGTAAAAAATGCCAAGAACCAGGGTATATCACAACAGTGATTGAAATTCAAAATGATTTCGTTAGCCATGTGAATGAAAACCCAATTGCCTTGTCAAAGAGCCATAAAAATAATGTTGTATATCGTTCATCAACGACAACCACTCATAAACCCTTCACTACGTCAGCAATGCAACAAAAAAATACAACAATACCAACATACGTATCAACATCGACTACGACAAACAGTCCAATAAATTCCCAACATATTGACTGTTGTAAAGTGTTAACTCCGCGGATTTGCAAATTATATGGTGAAAAATGGGTGTGTTTCAATAGAAAATACCAGCGCTGTGATAGCCGCATTTGTGCATCACCAGTTGTTTATTTGAAAGCACCTGCAATTAAGCACGAACCTCCAGTGCTTATAATGCCCCCCAATCCACAACTGACCGACTGTGAAGCAAATGATTGTCGCAATAATTTAAGTAAAAGTCCATTTTCCAATTGTATTGTATTTTATATACTATTTCTATACTTTTTCAGATGTTGATTGTTCTGGGTGCGCTACCCTTCGTTCTGAAAATTGTTCTCCATATTGTTACCAGTACATTTGTCCAACTGACACTTGTTCTTTTATGGATTTAAATGAATATTGCAGTTATTATTCAGGACAAAGTGGATGTTTGCCTACAGACGGTTGCCTTTGGAATTGGTGCTAAGGAAATACATATAGCACATTTATTTATGTATATTTATCATTAATATGTACAATCTTATCTGAAATTATCAAATATATGAAAAAACGTAAATTTTACTTTTAGATACAAGTTTATGTAGTATGTGCTTTAAAATGGCCCATATTTTGTAATATACAGTTCAAAAAGACCGAATTTTATTTAATGGTAGTCTTGTAGTAAATGAGAGATTTGTACATATAGGATCTCAGTCATATTTATGTATTTATCTAAGATTTATAAAAGCTTGCTTTACCTTATAAATAACATTTAAATGCGCATATTTTCAAGTTCTTAAGTTAAAAATCAAACACCAATTAGATTAGTTATCCTGTATCGTATTTAGATTTTCCATATTTTTTCCAATGACGAAATAAAACATTTTACAGTTAATTTCCCTTAAAACATGTTTTAAGTATTAGCTCTTCGTTGCCCAAGTTTAATCGTAGTTAAACAGATAAACAAAACACATTCTGTAGATTATCCTTCTGCGTGTTTAATTAATGTTCTGTTTCTAGTTTCCATATTATACAAAATTCAAAAATACCAGTTGTTACGATAATGTACCAAAATATCCACTCTTACAAATTCTTATTTTCTTATTTCATGTTTGTATCAAAAAAGTACCAGTTGAAAAACGAACAAGTAGCAGAATTATCCTTTTTATAGATTTTCGTTGAGTTTTTATTTATGTATATGTTTCTAGGTTAATTCAAAAAATATTCAAAAAGTACCAACGAGTTCCCCTTTTATAGATTTTCATTCAATCAATATGCAGCGTGTTTAATTTTGCGTTTCTATGTTCAATATTATAAAAAAACAACAAGTAAAAAAGTATAGTCGGGCGTGGCCGGCCATATGATACCCTACACCAGTTATGAATATTAAATGTGATTTAGTTTTCATAATAAAGTATTTACATATCTTCAAACTAACCTTGTTTACGATACATTTAATCAATTTATGTACGAAAAACTAATTTTCAGAAAGAGAGTTTATATGGGGGCTAAGGGCAAACATGGACCTATCCCGGGGCCTGATCTTTATGAAATTTTGCAAGGTCATCAATGATTGTACAAAATTTATTTGTGCCGCTTTTTATCGAGATACAGGTATATTAAACATAATTATGAGCTCAAAGGCTCTTCGGGGGGTTCTGTTGTATGGGGGCTAAGTGAAATAAGTTGAAAATTGCGACCTGTACCTTACGCACAAGGTTTACATGGACAGCCAGCCATCGACTCATCAAATGATTCTAAGCCAATTGATGTACTTTAAGGTGGGTATAGGACGAATATTTTTGTGTGTTACAAACATCCGCACAAACCCAATATACCCTCCCCACTAAAGTGGTGTAGGGTATAAAAAGTACCGGTTGAAGAACTAAAATGGATTTCCATTCCATCAGGATCCAATATGTCTGATTTCATGTTATGTCAATAATTCAGAAAATCCAAAAGTACCAGTTGAATGTCGAAGGAGTTATTTCGTACTTTTTCCATTAACGAATTAAAAATTATATTCATAAAAGTTGCAATATCGTTAGTCCAGTTATTATGAAATAACAATAAACAGAAATCAATGTTTTATGAAAAAAGTAACAAAAATAGGTACAATTTCCACTCCTCAAACGTCCGAATATCCAAAAAGTACCAGACACCTGTCCGTTTATTTTTTAATGTATAACGAAAAGTATTAATTAGTCGTTATAATTAACTACTCCCATATATGGTACAATATAATATACATATGTCATATTGAAGTCTTCCATATATGTAGTTCTGTCAATCTTCAAACAATTTTATTATTTTCGGTGTGCGAGTGATTTTTTATTTTACACGCCAAATAGAAGCCAAAGTTTACACTTGTATTTAACAAGTAAACATTAATGTTACATTCAGATGAGAAACATACTAACGCCTATCTGGTTACTCAGTTAACGGTACGTCACATAACGGTAACGTTACGGAACTTAGAGACTAACGAGGTTTTAAATTTGAAAAAATAATAACAAACAATCAGCTGTGCAAATGGTATTACCATATTAAATATTAATTGATAAAAATGTTGTTTATTTTGTTCAGTCATAAGAAGAAATTTCGACGATATGGTTGTGAATCGGTTGGGCGGTGATAATAATTGTGATTGAAATACGGTAATACATACATACTCCTAGAAATCAAGTGCAGAATTGTAAATATTAAAAAAAGTAATAAAAAATAATTATCTTATACCTATATGTAAATAATTAATAACACTTTACTAGTGTTTATAAACCGGTTAACCGGTTAACCGAAAAACCGGTTTTTATTGCATATTTCGGTTTTTCGCAAACCGGTTTTTTAAAACATTGGTTTTCGGTTAACCGGGTTATCCGGTTTTTAAGTCTCGGTTAACCGGTTTCAAAAAAATCTAATTTATAGTACAAAATTGTATGTTTTCTTTGATATTTTATTGTGATTTTTAAAAATTTTGGATAGATAATTTTAAACATTATTTTCCGTTTGTGCATATGAAAACAGACCTAAGATTGTTAAACAAATATTATCTATATACTTACTTGTTTACTGCGTGAGTATAATAAAAATCGAGAAGTTTCTCAAACGTTCTCAAAACGGACTTTATTTATCGAAACATAAGGATTGTTGTTGCCGTCCGAGAACTTATGCTGCTGGGGTTTTTCACAAACTGTAATGGCGCTTAGGTTGATTGACAGGAAGTCAGAATGACACCTGTCAATATTCCTAAGCGTCATTCACAGTAATTTGAACAACCACAGGCGTAGTGAGTGGAGGGAGGTCACTGTCTATGTCGAGACAATCGTCGCGAACCTGAACACTGTTTATAGTTCTGGGCATAATTTTTGCTATTGATATATATGGTTAATTTATCCCTCGTATGGCAACTTCCATATACCTAACGAATCAATAATATCTTCAGATCTATATAAGTTTGTTTTCTTATGATATATATTAATGTACATATCTATACTAAAAAGTGCAAATATCTTATTAAGTAATTTATAATATTTCGCAAAATGGCATTTTTCAACTATATATTATAATATTTTAAAGATTTCCAAACATTTCGGTTAACCGGTTTAACCGGTTTTTTATACTCGGTTAACCGACAAACCGGTTTTTTAGAAATGGTTAATTTTCGGTTAACCGAAAAACCGGTTTTTCCAAAAGTCGGTTTTTTATAAACACTACACTTTACATATAAGTAATATGCTGCCTTCTATTGACGTTCAAATTATATCTGCGTAATTAAGAATTTAATTTGGAATACAAATTATGTTAAAGGCATTTTAAACAAGTGAGAGAATACAGAATATATGTATATATGTATGTACATATATGTACGTAGTATGTATGTTTGTAAATATGAAAATTATAATAAACACTTATGCATTTTCTATTGTACGCAGTAATAATTTTATTTCTGTTCTCTTCTCTCATTGTATGTTGAATTTATTTTGTTTTGTAGAATTGGCTGAAGTTCAATTAATGATTTTCTAACAACAGAGAGCGTTAAGGAAATATATACATGCACATATACATACATATGTACATATTTGCGAAATCAAAACTCCCACCAAAAGTTTCAGTTCATTTGTATCCGTGAGTGCAATAATATGAAATAAAATAATAAATTTGTATATAGCAGTTTGATGTATTCATTCAATAACAAACCAATACAATAAGCCAAAGAAATAATAATTAATTTTATTTAAAATTAAATGCATACATAAAGAACAATTACCTACCAAAGAAAACAAAAATACGGAGTAGTGTTGTACATATTTCAGTAAATAAGTACTTACATATGCATGTAAATAAATAAGGCCCGTATTCAGAAAGAAGAATGTAAACAATATTTAAAATTTTGTATGAAAACACTAACAAAAACTGAGTAGTTTTCATACACAATTTTAAAAATTGTTTTCTTCTTTCTGAATTCAACTATTATAACTAATATGTATGTAAAAATTGTTTGTGCAACATAATAAATAAACAAAATGTCAAAAGCAAACATTTAACTCAAACAAAATGCATATGTACATGCAATCATCCGATTTTTTCCAAAAAAATTATTTTGTCTGCAAAAGGCTTTCTTTTCTTCATTTCTACCAAACACATGCAATAATTTAATAAATTATTCAATATTGTATTAAATAATTTATACGTCTTTCTTTTTGAACCCTTCACCTTCGCGAAAAGGTAAAGGGTACTGAGAGTTGAGCAAAATTCTCAAAAACCTATAGATTTTAATTTTTATAGTTTTCTGGATTTATGTAAATTACATTAGATTGAGGAATAACTTTTAAAAAATAAAGTTCTTATTTTACTCGACAATAAATTGATTTTCTTTAAAAGGGATAATATAAACCGAATTTCATCCCCAGACTGCTATTTTAACCAAGGTTGAGTTTCAACCGTCTTGTCTATACCCGAGCAAAATTACGTACATCAATACCCAACATACCCGGGTATGTCATACAATTTATATGGCTATTTCATCTTTTTATACATTTCTAGTGTATAATTCAGACAATTATTAAAACTAATTTAATAAAACGTCTGTAAATATAAATTAAATAGTTTTTGATCATAAACCATTAAATTTTAGCAATTTCTTTTAAAGTTTTCTTATTGCTTTCCTATTAACAAAAATATCATATGCAAAATAAACCTAAAGAAAAACGCCTTCATAACGTATAATGTACATTATGCAGAATTAGACTTTGTAAAATTTTGACTTCAAGAAGCTATTACTCGGTGACCGGGAAAGATAATTGAACAAAACTTTTTATATATTATTTATTAAGGTGTATAAAATCGATTAGCATTAATGAAATTATTTTTGCTGACGTAAGTAGGGAAGTTTTTTGCAAAAAAAGATTGCTAAGTCATGGTCAAAAATTAAAATTTTAAAATTTAAACTTAAATATTTTTGTTTATATGAGAATAAAATTATTATAATCAGCATAATTTTACTTTACTAAGTCATATATATCTAACTAATTTTTGGAAAATGTATAGAAAACATCAAGCCGATACGATATATAGATCTCGAGATATATCACTTCAAAAATGAAAAACATACCCGGGTATGTGGGTATTGACATAACGGTTAAAGTCATTGGGGCATCCAATAATGCATGACACTCATTAAATGTAGTAGATAGATTTTGTTCAACATAAAATTTGTTTATGCCAAATTTCACAGTTATACTGGTATTTTTAAGCCAGTATTAAACATAAAACTTATTTTCTTAATGGACTTTATATGAGGTATGATCAATTATGGATCAATAAAGGGATTTTAGTTCTTTAAAAATTTTGTATATACCGAATTTCGCAGCAATATTGGCATGTTAAAGACATTTGTGAGCATTAAAGTAATTTTCAAAAATTTAACTTACAAATATGGGAACTAGGAACAAATGTGGCCCGACCAAAACTAACTTGTTCAAAATTTCATCACTAATCAACATATATATTTATATTTGTGTAAACTGTTTTCCGAGGGCTTGAGAAATATTTGTCCATAGGACACAACGCACCATTAAAATTCATTTTAAAATAGGAAACTTTTCGAAAGCATGTCTGATATAATTATTGATGATATATATTCCGAAGATATCTAAATTCTTCAGAAAATTGATTTCATGGCTTAATAAACTCTGCTATCTATCTATAGAGATCCAAAATATATATATATACCTTATAGTGTCATAAAATTATAAATGGAATGACAAGTTAATATACATATCGTCACCTAAAACGCAAACGGCTCTATCTAACTTTTTTAAATTTTACAAGAGAAGCAAAAAACTATTTAAAGTGAAGAGTTTGTTTCTTTCAAAGCGATTTATTTGTAGTTAGTTGTTTATCATTTGTCAAGATAGTCGACAATGGTGTATATAAAAATGGATAAAGTGGACTTTTTACCTTCAATATTTAAATTTTGTTTTTTTGTCAATAAAATTGATAATTTTGGTCGGAGAAGCCCAATTTTTGGTGTGGGCATTTGTTTTGATGCAATACATTAGACTCAACAACAGAATCGATTTTGGATTTTTGGATAGTTAGGGCCTTTTTCGTTTTATGTATATAAAATCAATTCCGATTTTACCCGATTAACCGAATCATTTGATACTAACAAAAAATAGAATAATTAAATGCCCAATTTCTACTGAATTTACAGTTTTTATGAAAAATTTGAGATATACATAAGTATCGATCCGAGAAGATCCGATTTTATGTTATTTATATAAAAATCGTATTTTAATAAAAAAATTAAGTTAAATTGAAAATTTCATATTTCAGATTTATTTAAGAATCTATGGAATTATAGGTTTTTCATATAAAATAATTTTTGTATAAACAATTTTCGCAGTTTTTTGCTTTTGATGGTAAATTCGAGTGAATAAAGATGTTCATTATTTTCTTAATTGAAATTTTCTTTTTGATGAAATGAAATTTTATATAAAAAAGTATAAATAATTTTGAAGTAAAAGGAGTGGCGTGCAATTTATCGTGGTTCCAAATGTTTTGTTAATCGATTAAGTATTTCTATCAATGTTTCTCTAAAAGAGGCGTGGCATACAATCAATGTCAGACCTATCGGTATACCAAATTTTTTGTAAATTGGTTAGTGGTTTATCCATGAAAAAACAACCAACAGTAAAATAAAATATTATTGTTTACACATATTTATTTCAAAATCCCAAAATAATGTACATATGTTAAAGAAAAGCAAAATTAAAAAAAAATTGACTTCATCCCGTTCTATTTTTTTTGCGACTTACTTTACAAAAGTACACAACATCATGAAAAAAAACTAATTATATTAGGGGAATAACTAAAATTCGTAGGTACTGACTGATATTCTAAGAGTTAATAAAAAACAATTTTTAAAGCTACATTATTTTTTTCCTTAGATTGTTCCAGTGTGTTTCGGCACAATTTAGATGCACTTATTGTGTCGACGTAATTTCCAAAGTCAGCTTGTGGTACAATCGAAACCAAATTAGACCCCTTTTATTTATTTCTTTATTTCGTGAATACACTGTAGATTATAGTATACATAGTAGGGAGTTGATTAACTAAATTTTTATTATATTGCTGCCTTTTATCTTTTAAAATATTGTTTTTTCAATTAAATAAACCGGATTCTTTTCTATGCAAATCTAGCCCTCAAAAGTTCCATATATAAATCAGCGACATCTTCTAGATTTTTGAAGCATTATGTAACGGAAACATAATCATCAGCCAGTGCTCTTCAAACAAAATCAAATTTAATGTTGCCATACCATAAATATCATTAATCCGTTTGTAATTTTCATAATTTTATCACTATACATACTGGTATTTTAGACCCATTTATTAAAGTTAAATTCTTTTTTTTTGTAAATTTTGGCTCTGATTGAACAACTACTAAACTTTTTTACAAAAATTAGAAACTACTTGCAACTTTTTTATAATTTGGTATTAAATAACTATAAAATACACAAAAAGACACCATCACATATAAATTTCGTATATTTTCTTTAAAGATAAAAGCTGGTTAAGGGTTAATATTGCCAAAAAGTGTAAAAGGTTGTACACCCTAATGAGTGTATGTATAAATAGGTATGAATGTATATTTGTACATACATATGTATTTATACACATATTTCTATACAATTATCTGTTGGTTTTATTCGCAAATGTGAAGTTGGGGGGAGTGCGGGTTATCAATCTGAGTGAGAGTAATTACAACATTAAAATATAAAATACTCTCATATATTACAACAATAGTTTTGCCTCTCTACTATGTATTAACCCTTTGCTAGTTACTGCCCTGCCCGAACATTTGCTCTTCAAAACAGAAACAAATTGCTGAACATGGTTGCCAAATGTATACCATAATAATTATATTGCTAAAGCTGTATGGCCACACGTAAAAATTTGTGTATGCGTTGTTTATGCTTCTTCTGCTTTAATGATTGCTGGTATATATTACTAACCCATAAATAAATTTTGATCAAAATTTTGACGTGTGGCCATACAGCTTAATACAAACGTACTATGTACATAAATAGTAGTATGGAACATTTTTAATGACCCTAAAATCCATATTTATTATAACTGAATTGTATTATTTTGTGAATCAATTGTACTATATTAACCATTTACAATGGCCAATACAATATAAACGAACTAATAAAAATCTAAATCTATAGGTATTTTTGAAATGGATTAAGATTCTTTCACGAGAACGACTATTGGCAACACTAAACATAAATGAAAACGCTTTTGTTATTGAAAGCTACATTACAAAAATATTCAGTTAGTATTCTCTTGAGTATCGGCCTGTGCAGTCGTGTGTTTTAAACGTGAAGACGATGAAGTATAAATAAAAGTGTTTATTTCAGTTAAAAATTTAAGAAAAAATAAAAAAAAAGCACGACACTCCTTTATATTTTTATTAACTGTGTGAGACGAGTTGATTGCAAACACCTCCGAATTTATAAAAGTTGAATATTTCATCATAACAGTGTATCCGAACAGTTGTTTTGTTTGTAAACAATCTAATGTTATTCATTTCATTTGAATATAAAAAATAGACGGTA